CAGCAGGATCGCCGGAGCCCAGCGGGTCGAGGCTGCGGTGGCCGGGAGCGGCCACTGCACTCCAGTCTGGGCGACCGAGTGAGACTCCAGCTCAAAAAAAAAAAGTCTTTTGGATTTTTTTCTGCTCTGTATGAAACAATGATGCATTCCCCTTCCCAAACCCCCTCTGTCCCTGCAGCTTACTTTGGTGCCACACTGAACAGCTTCATCCATGTCCTCATGTACTCGTACTACGGCCTGTCGTCTGTCCCTTCCATGCGCCCCTACCTCTGGTGGAAGAAGTACATCACTCAGGGCCAGCTGGTGAGTGCCTTGGCCTCCCTCCCCGGGTCCTACTTTCCAGGGGACCACAGACCACTCCCTGGCTTTGCTGTTGTGCAATGGCATCTAGGATGTCCCTTCCTCAGCCTTTCTCATTGGATCCAGGCAGATTCCTTGAAGTAGACATGTCAGGGTGTCTTCTTATTTGTAATCGGCAGTGAAACTGTGACCATGCGTGAACAGCTAGTTGAATCTTTAGAAAGATAACTTCTCGACCTCAAGCTCAACTCTGTCCTTAGTTCGTGCGTGTGAGCACTATGCCTGTGTGTATGTACCTATACGTGTCCTTGTGTTCCCTGGAGTTTCAGAAGGAACTGTGGAGTCCAGGACGCTGTAGCTTATTAGGCAGTAAGGATATTTGCCAAGACAGGTGTGGGGTGACCCCTCAGCCCCCATGTAGTGAGCATCTGTGGAGAATGTGACACCTGCCCTGCTTGAGGTGACAGCTCCCCTCCCACAGTTCACTGTGGCAGCTCCAGGCCCCCATGACCTGATGGTTATTTCTCACCATTGTTTCTTAAGCCTTCTCCAGTCACCAGTATATTTTAAATCTCCGTTCTTCTCCCCCTCTGAATTTTTTCATGAACTAATTATTAATACTGCTCTGCCAGGTGCAGTGGCTTGTGCCTGTAATCCCAACACTTTGGGAGGCCAGGGCAGGAGGATCACTTAAGACCAGGTGTTCAAGACCAGCCTGGGCAGTACATTAAGAAACTATCTCTACAAAAAAATTAAAAACTAGCCAGTTGTAGTGGCACACACCTATAACCCCAGGTACTTGGGAGGCTGACGCAAAAGGATCACTTGAGTCCAGCGCTTGGAGGCTGCAGTGAGCTAAGGTCACATCACTGTATTCCAACCTGGGCAACAGAGAAAGACCCTGTCTCAAAATATAATATGTTTCATGCTAAACACTGACATTTATTAAATGTTTATCATGTGTCTTGGTACTCATGTTAAATGATTTTCCATGGATTGTTCGGATAGCCTGATCTCACATCATTGCCCCCGTTTTTTAGATGAGGACACTGAGGCAATCAGCCATAACTAGGTGACTGAGGAATGTAGGCATTAAACCTTCAGCCCTTGCCTTGCCTTATGAACAGTTTTCTAAACAAACCAAGCTGATTCAGATCCCTCCAAGTCAATTGTGATTTTTCAGTATTTAAAAATAAGTCTGAAAAAGTGTCTAAGAAAGTCTTCTGAGCCACTTATGTATCTGATATTTCATTATCACCTCTCTGCCAGCTGCTGTACAGTCCTTGTTAATTTTTCTCACCCACTTGTGAGGAAGGAAAATTGCTCTTTAACCTCTTTGCTGTACTTAAGTAGAAATGATACAGGGATCGATTTATACCACACAGTTGTGGCTGTTGCAGAAGTAGAATTTAAAAGAACAGACTGGGTTAGTTGATCTCCTGTTTGGTTCTGTACTTGAAGGTAGAAGATTGTGCATAGTTTGTCAGTATTTAGTTAAAATACCACTCCTAATTCTCAACCTGGAGTATTAACCTTTACAAAAAGAAAAGAGGGGAGGGCCGGTCATGGTGGCTTATACCTATAATCCCAGCACTTTGAAAGGATTGCCTGAACCCACAAGTTCAAGACTAGCCTGGGCAACATGGTGAAACCTCATGTCTACAATAAATCAAAAAATTAGCTGGGTGTGGTAGTGCATGCCTGTAGTTCCAGCTACTTGGATGACTGAGGTAGAAGGGTTGCGTGAGCCCAGCAGGTCAAGACTGCAGTGGCCTTGAGTGTGCCACTGCACTTCATTCTGGGTGACAGAGTAAGACTCTGACTCCAAAAAAAAAAGAAGAGGAAAAGAAAGTCTTGGTGTGATGGCAACCCATGTAGTCCCAGGTACTCTGGAAGCTGAGGCAGGAGAATGGGTTGAGCCCAGAAGGTAAAGTCTAGCCTGGGCAGTATAGCAGGAGAACCACATCTCGAAAGAGAAGAAGAAATACTCTACGTAGAAACATTGGAGCTACCAGAAATACAGCGGGCAGAACATAGCGTTTTTTAATTGTTCTTAAAGATGCATCCTCCAGTAACCACAGCTTATTTTAACATTTCTCCAAGCAGTTCACATGCTTTTCAGAGGTTTACTCTTCAGAGATAATCTACGGACTTAGTGTTGTTTGCCAATAAGAGTTTATATCTACTCATCAGCTGTCACCAAATCAAGAGGGATTATGGATAAGGAGTAGGAAGGACATCCAGTCAGGTTGTACATCCTGCAGTGATGCCATCTGTTCCCTTTAAATACACCAGGGGGGACCCAAAAGAAACCGGAATTATCTTTGGAGGGCAGGTTCCTTGTAGCACAGGCTTACCTTGCTCGGCAAGTGTTCTGGGAACCCATTGGTATCAGTGTACCAGCTAGTGTTGCTTGAGAGGCGGTGTTCAGCTTCAGTGAATTTTTTTTCTATGGAGATTCTTTCAACATGTTTGGCTATTTCTTGATGGAGGATTTACGAGTGCACCTGCCCACACCATGTTGAATGTTCAGCAGTTTGTTTCCCCGGATGAAAAAATACTCAGAGGGAAATGTTTTGCCAATGTGGAAGAGGTGAAACAAAGAACGGCAGAAAGCACTAAAAGGCATCAAAATTGACGCGTTCAAAAACTGTTTTGAGCAGTGGAACAAGCACCTTGATAGGTGTATTGCATCAAATGAACAGCGCTTTGAAGGTGACTGGAGTTTAAACATGTAAGAATAAATACACAATTTTTAAGAAATAAATTTCCAGCCGGGCTCGGTGGCTCAGCCTGTAATCCCGCGCCTTTGGGAGGCTGAGGTGAGTGGATTGCCTGAGCCCGCGGGTTCGAGACCCACCTGGGCAGCGAGACCTCATCTCTACAATAAATCAAAAAATCAGCCGGGCGTGGTAGCGCATGCCTGTAATTCCGGCTACTCGGAAGGCTGAGGCGGAAGGATCGCCTGAGCCCAGCAGGTCGAGGCTCCCGGCCACCGCACTCCAGTCTGGGCGACAGAGTGAGACTCCAACTCAAAAAAAAAAAAAAGAAATAAATTTCCAGGTTTGTTTTGAGTCTCTCTTTGTACACCTGTCACCACCCTTCCTGTCTTAAAAAGAGGAAACCTTGCATCTCTCTATTGTGTTCTTGCATTTTGGAGAAGGTAGTTGAAGTCGCTTCGAGGGAAAGGGAGGGCATATAGAAGACAGACACTGGGTTAGGATCAGTGCAGTGCGTGCTTTGTGTTCATGAAGTGACTGCTGGACCTGCAGAAGGGTTAGTGAGTGTTCATTCAGAAACCTTGGAGTTACTGGGTAGAAAATCCAGCCAGTGTGCACCTCGCCACACACTGTCCCCACTCAACTATGTCCCCTCTTCTCCCCAGCTTCAGTTCGTGCTGACAATCATCCAGACCAGCTGCGGGGTCTTCTGGCCATGCACGTTCCCTCTCGGCTGGTTGTATTTCCAGATCGGATACATGATTTCCCTGATCACGCTCTTCACTAACTTCTACATCCAGGTACGTCCCGCCCTTCTCCAGCATTTGGCGTTTGGGGCCTTTCTTCCACTCCTTTACCGAGGGCATGTGGCGCCCTGCTGGAGGCCAGACGCAGTGCTAGGAGTCCCAGTGACATGGGCAGCTCTTGCCTTAGGGGGCTGACGGCTAGCTAGAAAGGCACCCAGTTGTCTTCTGGATTCTGGAGGAGGAGAGTCTTGGCATGCGTAGGGGAAATGCAAAGCTGTCTAGCAGGGACCTGCGTGGCTTCCCTCTGACCTGTGGTGATGGCAGGGGAGATATTCTTCAATCAGATTTGCCCACCCCGAACGCCATGTCTCCATGAAGTTTCCGAAGAAATGTCACAGTCCTCAGAGAGATCTGCCTTTTGGTCCCAGTTTTCTCCCATATTTGCTGCTCGAGTTTGGCACTTCATTTCATTCCCAAGTGTATGATGAAGTGACGTAGGTCTCTGCTCACAGAAAGGTCACATTAGGACAGATTGTCTCTGGTGGAGCCTGATCACTCAGCAGCCACTGCCAATTCTCCCACCGCCTGCCACCCCTGGTTGACGTATGTTCCTGCTTTTGTGGGCAGTACCTGGTAGCTGTGCAGCCCATGAGTCTGGAGGAGAACCCAGGTCAGGAGCAAGGGCAGAAGATGAGAGTCTAAAGTGCAGCTACTCTTCCTTCTCTCTGTGCCCACATTTGCCTGTGGATGGATGTCGCATTGGAGATTACATACTGCTGGGTTTAATAGTGGGGCAGGAAGGGGACAGGACAGGCCCCGAGGAAACTAAAATCACACTTATTCTACCACTTATAGCAGCATCATACATTGTACCTGAGAGCTGAGATAGTCCCTAAGGTCATGAGGAGACTTGAAGACAAACAAGGGATATGGGAGTCCAGAGAGCCACTGCCAGACTGGAGACACCAATTTGGGTGCATTAATCTCTGTCCCCTGCCATCCATCCCTATCCAAGAGAGGAAATGCAGAGTAAAGCATAAATGACTTTTCTGTGTAATGTCTCACATACAAACCGGGTGTGGTGGCCCATGTTGTCATCACAGCACTTTGTGAGGCTGAGGCGGGAGGTGAGGTCAGGAATTCAAGACCAGCCTAGGCAACATAGTGAGACCTCGTCTCCACAAAAAATACAAAAAAGTTAGCCAGGCGTGGTGGAGGCTGAGCCAGGAGGATCACCTGAGCCCAGAAAGTCAAGGCTGTGGTGAGCCGTGATTATGCCTCTGCACGCCAGCCTGGGTAACAGAGAGACCCTGACTCACAAATACATAGTAAATAAATAGATGTTTTAAATAGTATTGCCGCCTGTGACTCGGGGAACTTACCTCAGGCCGAGGCTTGAAAACATAGATGAGTGATTGAACCCAATGGCAAAAAAATTTAGTTGTGGTCATTTGACCCTAAAAGGTGGTTCTTCTTTATAGGATTTGATCATAGGAAGAAACAGGGCCTAGTGTCAGGGATACGGTTCCCAGTGAAGTTGCCCATGAAGAAAACAGTCCTGGGGTCACGTGGCTCTTGTCTGCCCTTGTGTATTTCAGACTTACAACAGGAAGGGGGCCTCTCGGAGGAAAGACCACCTGAAGGACCACCAGAATGGGTCCATGGCTGCTGTGAACGGACACACCAACAGCTTTTCTTCCCTGGAAAACAATGTGAAGCCGAGGAAGCTGCGGAAGGATTGAAGTGGAAGAGCCGGAGCCCTCCACACCACGCCACCTGATTGTAAGCACAACACGACTTGTGCCCCGACACTCGTTAACAGCTGCTGTAACTAGTCCGGCCTACAATAGTGTGATTCACGTAGGATCTCTTTCATCAGTTCAAATCCCCTAGAAAACGTATACCGATTATACAAGTAGGAATAAGATTTCTAACATTTTTGGGCTGTCATTGACCCCTGCGCTAGACTGTGGAAAGGGAGTATTATTGTAGTATACAACACTGCTGTTGCCTTATTAGTTATAACATGATAGGTGCTGAATTGTGATTCACAATTTAAAAACACTGTAATCCAAACTTTTTTTTTTTACTGTAGATCATGCATGTGATTGTAAATGTAAATTTGTACAATGTTGTTAATGGTAGAGAAACACACATGCCTTAAAATTTAAAAAGCAGGGCCCAAAGCTTATTAGTTTAAATTAGGGTATGTTTCAAGTTTGTATTCATTTGTAATAGCTCTGTTTAGAAAAAAAAAATTGAAGACCGTGATTTATGAACTAGCGGGGGACACGTAATTTCAAGTGACTTGTAGATGTGAAATTAGAAACGGCACCTTCAGTTTTGTACTATTGGCTTTGAATCAGGCAGGCTCAGATCTAGTGGAACAGTCAGTTTAACTTTTTAACAGATCTTATTTTTTTATTTTGAGTGCCACTATTAATAATGTAAAAAGTTGGGGGGGCTCTAAAGCAGTCTTGATGAAACTTAAATATATATTCTTTGTCCTCAAGATTTTAGGAAGAGTGTAGGGTAAGTAGGCCTTTTTTAATTTCTGAAGTGCTAAGTGTTTTTATACAGCAAACAAAAAGTCCGTTTTGCTTCCCACCAGTGCGAGAAAGGAGGTAGACCTTTCAGGAGAGATGATTGAATATTTATCATTTGACAAGAGCCCTACAGATGAGCAGTGGGGAACTGGTTGCCAGGGTCCAAGTTTAGATTAATTTCTGTACTGCTATCTGTTTTGACACAAACTTCCTTTTAATATGTGCCTAGTCTACCAAAATTAACAAAGGGTTAAAAAAAAGGACCTTAAGAAATGTTAAGGCAAAATTAAATAGATAGCAACAGGGAGATTGGAGAGAGACAACTTGTTTAATGTAAATCTAATAGTACCTGTAATTCTTTTCTGCTTAGAATCTAAAGATTTGTTTAATAGACTGCTTTCCATGAAATCATGTCTCAGACACTTGAGGCAGTGGTTAAACAGATAAAGACTATTATGTGTGTCATTTTAAAGTGTTGGAATTTAGCCTCTGAATACCTTCTCCAGTAGGGAAAAAAGAATTTGTTGAACCACTCGTGACACATCTTAGAAGGTCATTGACAATGTATAAACTAATTGTTGGTTTGGTATTTATGTAAATATCAGTTTACCATGCTTTAATTTTGCACATTCATCTTGTGGGGAGCCGACTGGTTCTCTTATTAGTCTTGTGGATTTTCTGTTTGAAAGGAGTCGCGGCATCTGTTTACATTGACCTTATCAGACCTAGAATGTGTATATTTATAAATGTATGTCTTCATTCCTGGGTACTAATTGGCAGATGTCTTTACATATTTCAATACAGAAACAGTAACATTCAATAGTGTGCTGTCAGAGTGTGCTTAGCTCATGTGGATATACCCACACTGTTAAACGATGTCTAAACATTAATCATTAAAACATTTTTGATGACCTGTACTTGCGTCTTACATTGTTGCTGTGCTCCCAGTTCTGAAAGACTGGAGAAAATCCACTTTCTTTAGCCTCTAGGGACCTACCCAAAGAGATGTGATTTTCTTTGGAAAGATATATCGTTGCCTAGGTCATGTGGAGATGGACCCCGCATGGCAAGGCATCCTGGTGGCTCTGCCCTCATGTTTTCCTCTCTGCCTCCCTACCAAAGGTTCTCACTCTAAACATATTCTTGAGTCTTCTTCCATTGATCCCACCCTCACCCCAAAGCTGTTAGAGTTACTTTCCTAGCTCTAGACAACAGGTTCACAATTTTTGCTGGAAAATGCCAGATAGAAAATACTTCAGGCTTTGCAGGCTGTACAGTCTCTGCTGCAACTGCTCCACTGTGCTGCTGCACCGTGCAAAAAGCAGCCACAGACAAAATGTAAATGAATAGACTTTTTTTTTTTTTTTGTCTCATTCTGTCACCCTGACTGGACTGCAGTGGCACAATCATGGCTTACCACAGCCTTGGTTCCCTGAGCTCAAGTGATCCTCCCGCCTCCACCTTCCAGGTAGCTGGGACTACAGGTGGGTGTCACACCATGTCCAGCTAATTTTTTTTTTAATAGAACCTAGGTCTCACAAAAGACGAGGTTACTCAGGCTGGTCTCAAACTCCTAAGCTCAAGCAATCCTCCCACCTCAGCCTTTCAAAGTGCTGGGATTACAGGCATGAGCGACAGTGCCTGGCCAGGCTGTGTTCTAATAGAACTGTATTTTCAAAACAGAAGACCTATGGCCATCGTTTGCTGATTTCTGTTCTAGAGTAGTAAGGTCTTCTCTTCGGACCCAAAGCTCGGTCATTTTCATTGCCAAAGTTAATTTCATGTCCCAGAACCTGGTCTCTTCCAGCCTACCCCAGTGCGCTTGACTTAACAGACCATCCGTGTCCACAAGGGGAGTGGTGTTAATGGCCCAGCTTCCTGCCATCTATTTCATACCACATGGTGTAAGGTTAGTCTTGGCTCTTGGGTGCCTTCTGGTTCGTCAGTATCACCTTTAAAATGTAATCTGAAGCTGGGCCATTAATCCCGCACTTTGGGAGGATGAGGTGAGTGGATTGCCTGAGCCGCGGGTTCGAGACCCACCTGGGCAACTTGGCGAGACCTCATCTCTACAAAAAATCAAAACATCAGCTGGGTGTGGTAGCGCGCGCCTGTAGTTCCAGCTACTTGGAAAGCTGAGGCGGAAGGATCGCCAGAGCCCAGCAGGTGGAGGCTGCGGTGGCTGGGAGCGGCCACTGCACTCCAGTCTGGGCAACAGAGTGAGACTCCAACTCAAAAAAAAAAAAAAAAATGTGATCTGAAAAAAGGACCAGCAATACTAAACTGCATTTAGTATTGGGAATATTACCTAAAAGGTACAAGAAGATGGTGGGGGAATTGATGGTTATGGTTATAGTCTTTCCCCTCTAAGTTCAGAACAAATTGAAACAATAAGACATAGAAATTAAACCAGTAGAAATCAAAATAGCACATCCCTTAATGAGCATACTAGCAAATAACACTATTGACTGAAACTTACTAGGGCTCATTAGCAGATCCGTGACTAGCTTTGATGTCGGCCCTGTGATGAACTGGTTGTTAAAATATTTTGAATATCAGCCTAGACTTCACCACCTTAAACTCTAAGCTTCCCTTGCTGTGGCAGATTCTACTCTGATGACCTTACCACGCCAAGGAATTACTCAGTCTCAGCAATCTCAGCAAAGTCTCCCTCCTGCCCTCAAAGAAGTAAGAGGGCAGAGAGAGGCAGATATGTTCCCACACTTGGCTCCTTCCTGCACGGAGCAGGGAGGATTCCCATTTCCCCCTCTCTTTTTAGCTACCTTGCTGTTCACCTGGAAGAGCAATGTAGCCCAATATGAGAAGCACAACTTGGGTTGAAATTCTACCTCTGTTACCTAACCCCGAATTGTACCCTACATCTTTATAATTAATAATAATAACAAATTCTACCTCTGTGACTTTTAGGCAAGAAAGCATTGCCTCAGTTTTCTCCTCTGCCAAATGGGAATAATATTATGATTATGAGTCCACATTATAGGGCCGAAATGAGGATTAGATACTAACTATACTGTATACTAAAGCTCTTGGACCACATTTAACTCAGAGTAAACTATAGGGGTAACTATTACCTTCAAGATTGTGATCTGCTCAACCCACCCCACTGGTCTCTTTCACTTATAAGCAATTGTTTTACTGTTATTTCCCTGGTTGACTGCTCTAAGTAATTCTATCAGAAAAGGAAAGAAAGTTTGGTATGATTCTGTTTTTGTTGAATCAAAGCTGAAAAGCCAGCAATTCTTAGGAACCAAGGTGTTCACCACCATATTATTCCCAATTTTGCTGGAGTTTCACATCAAATTCACCCTTCTAGAGTTACTTTCTAGAATTTACTTTATTTCCCCTTTGGAAAATAGTGCAGTGATGATCAGTATCTGGATTTCAATTGTTATTTCTCCAGGGTTCTGACAACACTTCTGTAATCACAACAGCAGATTGTTTCAGTAGCAGATATTTTTCATGTGAACTCATTTAAAGCAGATGTCTCCTACTATCCCCTTATCGGCCTTGGATTTCAAATCCTAACCAACCTGTAAGAAAGGGATTGGCAGTAATAGGACACTGCCAGGGGCAGAGTGGGGGACACACAACATCAATAAGTGTACCTGATCTCAAACCAGGCAAGTGGGGACCAAAGAGAGGTCCAAACTTTACCTGTTCAATGACCACTTGCATACCTAATCCTGAACTGTACCCCACATTTTTAAAATTAAAAAAAAAAATTCTAACCAGATTTTTCTCTGCATTCTTACTTGAGATTATTGTCCTCACTGGCACAGATGGAACAGAATAATGGATACTGTGATTTGCTTGCCCCCTGCCCTTCTGTTGCAATGCACCCAGGATCATTAGCTCTTGTTGCAGACATAGATTTAAATCCCTTTGTCTATTTCTTTTTGCATTTCATTCAAAAACACAAAAATACCAGCCTGGGCGATAGCAAGGCCCCAACTATAAAATACAAAAATTAGCCGGGCTCGGTGGCTCAGCCTGTAGTCTCACGCCTTTGGGAGGCTGAGGTGAATGGATTGCCTGAGCCTGCAGGTTCGAGACCCGCTTGGGCAGCGAGACCTCACCTCTACAATAAATCAAAAAATCAGCCGGGCGTGGTAGTTAGTGCATGCCTGTAATTCCGGCTACTCAGAAGGCTGAGGCGGAAGGATTGCCAGAGCCCAGCAGGTTGAGGCTGCGGTGACCGAGAGCGGCCACTGCACTCCAGTCTGGGTGGTTGAGTGAGACTCCAACTCAAAAATAAAAATAAAAATAAATAAAATACAAAAATTAGCCAGTCATGATGGTACATGCCTGTAGACCCAGCTACTCTTGGAGGCTGAGGCAGGAGGATTGCTTGAGCTCAGGAGTTCGAGGCTGCTGTGAGCCAATATTATGCCACTGCACTCTAACCGGGCGACAAGAGTGAGACCCTGTTGCTAAACAAATAAATAAAATAAAACCCACTCTTGTCATTTTTGTGATCTTTGTCTTCTCTCTTTCTCCAGTGTGTTTATGGCAGTTACCTGAAGGGAAAGAATTCCTGGGCCAATATTTGCCATAGTTTGTGTAGATGTCTGGACTTGCCTCTTGGTCTAAGGTCATGGAAGACTTCCGGGGTGGAAGTTGTAAGAACAAGCAGCATAGGATCCAATGAACAGATAATGGAGTGGTGGCAGAGGTCCAGGGGTAGGGTTGTCAGTAGTTCTTCCCTTTCTCAGATCATCCGGGTTCTCTGAACAGGGCTTACTGCCCACATTGTTGCCCATTACGAAATGGTACTCGGTTCACAGGGAGGAGTGCTTGGCACAGAGGACTGAACTAGGCATATGGAGCAAACAGGGACCTGTGAGAAATGACTTCAGTCCCTAAAAGAGCCTTTGCTAGCTTGGGATCAAACACACACAGGTACCTTTCTCTTAGGACAGTTTGTGGCAATGGCCATAAGACTCATATAAAGCAAGGGTAAGAGAAACTTCATGAAGGAGTTATAGCCTTTAATCGAAGGCTTCAGAGACACAGAGGTTTCAGCAGGTGGAGAATAAAGTTCACCTGCGAGATGGCATCCCACATAACAGGCACCAGCATGAGCAAACATATACAAGGCTGAGACGGGGAGATAACACACTCTACTGAACAACGGGGTGTGTGGGTGAAATTTTTATTTTTTGGAATCAGAGTCTCACTCTATCACTAGGCTGGAGCGCAGTGGCACGATTATGGCTCATCACAGCCTTGACCTCCTGGGCTGAGGTGATTCTTCTGCCTCAGCCTCCTGAGTAGCTGGGACTACAGGTATGTGCCAACAAGCCCAGCTAATTTTTTGATTTTTTTGTGGAGATGAGGTCTCACTATATTGCCTAGGCTGGTCGTGAACTCCTGAGCTCAAGCAATCTTCCCACATCGTTTTCCCAAAGTGCTGGGATTACAGTTGTGAGCCACGGCAATGGATCATAAAACAGCATTCCCAAGGGCAGTGGAAGGGGGAAATTGTGACAGCCCCAAGCTAGACCTTAAGCTATGTCTTCATGTTAGAAATGGGTGCAAAAGGATATATGTTCTAGGGCCCAGACATAGTACCCGCATCCCTGCTTGAAAGACCTGGGTATGTTTGGAGATGGCATAGCATAGGACAAAGGCTTTGGCGTTTACTCCTATGAGACCACAAACAAGTTACCTCACTTTTCTGAACCTTATTTTCCTCAACTGTGAAAATATGGATGGTTAGCTTATATGACCGAGGTTAAATGCAGAAATGAAACAAAGATTTTGCACAGGACTTTACAGTAACGGTCACTTATTATCAGGGGTAAGTTATTGCCAAGTAGGTAAGTAAACAAGGAAGAAGGTGCACGGTGATCAATTTTGGCATTAGATTTAATTTTAGTACTCAACACAATTTACT